AAATTTAGAAAAAAAAAAAACCTCTGATATTCTTTGTAGAAAAAGTATAGAAATTTAAAAATTCAAACATTTCTGACTTTTTGGAAATTTTCAGAGTTTGAAAATATGATTTTTTTCCCCCCCAGCAAATTTTCAACTTTTGTATTTTTTCTAGAAAAAATTCTGATTTTATTAGTGGAAATGTCTAGTTTTTGCTGTCAGTGATGGCTGTTATACTCTGTCGTAAAAATCATTTGGAAAACTTTATTTACAGTTGAAACCAGATATTTTCTTACACTTAATAAAAAGACAAACACATTTCTTTCTCACTGTCTAATTTTAAATATTCTCATTATTTACTCAAAATGAATTTATAAAAGATAACGCATAACATTGAGCTTGTGCATAAAGTACACCAGTACATTTTGTGTATATATCACTTTGTACTTTATGCACAAGTACAGCTTGTGTATAAATTATACACAAGCTTTAGTTATGTATAATTTATGCTGTGTGCAATTTTAAAAAGAGAAATACCACAAAAAATCCAACTTTGAGTGATAAATGCTTGGATACAAATGATTTATTTAACCATCCAGAAATAACTTGAGTTGTCCCCTCAAACAGAAAATAATCACATTCAAAGATTAATGAATCAAGAAATTGCAGCTCCTATTATCTATTTTACAGTCGGTCTGAATTATTGCTGAATCGTTGACATCCTTTCTCTGAGAATAAAACGGATCCTCCCACATGATTTTTCCTTCCCAGTTTTCAACTGAAAGAAACGAGAAGATGACTCACCGCCTCTGAAAAAGGGGGAAAAGCTTTAAACAAACTTCCCTGAATGAAAAGTAACAGCAACTTTTCTTTCTCCTGAAGTTGTCTTGGGAACGAGTCGTGCACACACACACTTTCCACTTGACGTACATGAGACTAACACTTGACACGCACTTTACATAACAAGAAGAAATAAGGAAGGCGGCAGGAAAACCAACCAAAAGCTCACTAGTCTGGAAATTGTCACAGCGAATCAGTCGGATCGTCGAGCTGAAAGCACAATAGGCAATTTGAAGTTTATGGAGGAGGAGGAGCGGCCTTTGAAGCTTCTGAAGCCGACTTGTGAATGTAATTAGCAGGCACGCTCCGTCTCTGATAACTCAAACTGTGTCGAGGAGAAACTCCCACTTCAGCCTCATTCAGTGGCTTTGTTTCACCTGAAACGGTAGCAGGTGGCTGATGCTTCATGATGTAAAAGTCGGGGAAGAGGAGAGCTGCAGAAGTGTGCCAGCTTTGATCTCAGCCCTCATCCCATTTCTACTGAGGCTGACCTGATTTCTGAGATCTGTGCAAAGAAAATGTGTTGTGATCACTCAGTTAAACGAGCAAAGAAAAAGAGGAAACTGACTAGATGCAGGGTGTATTAACACCAGGCCTCTTTGATTCGCTTTAATTAAACTCTAGTTGAAAGTTTGGCTCGTTTGGAGGATGTGAATGAGCATCTACGGCTGTTTTCCCACATGATAGTCCGGTGGATTCAATTTGAACCAGGACAGAATTTAAACATTGGTTACATTTTACTTTTCAGAAACCTGTTCCCCTCCTCGCCTGTGGGGGCACTGCACCAAGAACCACTGAAGGAAACGACACAAAAAACTCTGAAGAAGACACTGAGAGCAGCTTCCGTCTTCACAAAATGTGAAAACAATGGAGTGGCGTCAGACTTTAGTGGTTGTAGGATTTCTCTTTATCAAAACACCATGAACCATTTCTCTCACTAGCGCTAGGCTGGTGTTTGTTTTGGTTGTATTTACCCAGAATTCCTTTCACTGTAGCCCACTTCCTGCTTTTGGAGCATTCTTCAGTCTGCTTGGCGTTCACATAAGTAGTTGAATTGCACCAGAGTTTGCTTCAACTGAACCGAGACTGAGGCTTGTAGGTGGACCAGAGTTCACACATAACAGCCTTGGCACAATAATTTATTTAAATTTAGAAAAACAACAGCCAACAGTATTTTTACTATCTGTATAAATCTATTGGTACAGCTAACTGTGGATTCATTTAAGAAATGAAAAGTTCTGACCGGTGTTGCCCTCTGATTGGTGGTGTTATAAAAAAAATGACCTAAAACCTGCGACAACGCTAAAAAACCTTTCACTCGAGAATTAATTCCTTTATCCCCTGACAAGTCTCCATTAGTTAAGCCATTTATTTCAGTTATTTAAGCTAAAACTTCCTGTCACCACAAGAACACAGATTGGATAAAAAATAATCATCAGATGAACTTTAACAGTCACTGACTGAGACATGAAGTCAGAAGTTTGTATTCTGTCTGCTGATTCAGCCTTCAGTGATCGGGGAGAAGCAGTCTATCCTCCAAACGCCAATTAAGTCGTTGATGGTCAGATCATTGACATGCTGTGCTGATGACTGACAGGCTCTGCATGTTCCCTCCTTAATTAATTGCCAGCAGCGCGGCCACACGTGGATACGGAAGAAGATTAGGGCCAACAAGAAAAACAGATTACATTAAATTCCGACTTTAAACTCAGAATCCTAACTCTGAGTGAATCTATGTCAAAATTCAAATCAATAACCAAACATTCAGAGGTGTATGTCAATTATGTTGTTTGTATGAAAATAATCAAGTTTCTTATTTCTTGTATGATTTGTAAACCTGCACTTTATCCTGTCCCAAATTTATTTGGTAAATTTGCTTTCTTAAAACTAGATTAGCTTGATGGGGCATAAACAACGTAAACAATTCTGTTTCTGAGAAAAAACATCTAAATTCTGAGATTGAAATCTGTATTCCGAAAAATTTAAGAATTCTGAGAACAAAGTTAGAATTTAGAAAAAGTAAAAATTCTAAAAAAAAGAGTCAAAATTGAGTTTTGTTAGAATTCTGAAAAAACGTCAGAAAAAAATATTCTGATATTAAACTCCAAATTCTGAAAAATAATCAGAATTCAGAGGGAAAAAAGTCAGAATGCAGCGATTAAGTCAAAAGTCAAACAGAATTTTGAGAAAAAAATTTCAGAATTCTGAAACAGTCAAAATTCCAGAAGAAGTCAAAAATCGAGGTTAGTCAGAATCCTGAAAAAATGTCAAAATTCTGAGAAAAAAACTGATTTCTGAGATAAAAAGTCAGAATTCTGAGATTTAAGTCCAAATTCTGAAACGTCATAATTCCGGAAAAATTTTAATTTTGAGAAAAAGTCAGAATTCTGAAAAAAGCAGGAATTTGTATAAAATGTCAGAATTCTGAGAAAAAAATGTCAGATTTTTTTAAGTAGCACTAATCCGTTTCCGTACATGTAGGGTTTGATCACGGTAATTTTTTTTTGCAGGATAAATAAAAAAAAATTGATAAAGAAGGACAGAGAGAAACTTGAAAATGACCCCAAGAATCAACTTGTTGGTTCCTGTAAATCAATTTGTCTCTGAATGATTCAGAAAAAACATGTCTGTGAGGTGGAGGCGATAAATCTTTCTAACAAACAGTGTGACGTTCTCTGAAGCAGGTTCCCCAGAGCTGCTGCCGCATTTAGGCACCAAAAGTCAACATTAGCATTTCAGAGGCTTATCTATTTTCATTAACTCACTCTTGGAGAAGATTTCCCAAAGTGTCCTGCAGCCTGAAGCAATATCAGACATTTATCGACTCCTGGGAAGGGATGCCATATTTGAAGCTTGATGCATGAGAAATTTAAATCCATTATCCTCCTTAATTAAAGCTAATATTTCAAGGAGTGCTTACGTTGCTGCGATATACTCGGTGAACTCAGGTAGCCTCTAAAACATTAAAGCACATCGATTTTTACTCACCAGTCCCTGCATGTGTTGTTGCTAGTTTCTTATTAAGCATAATTGCTTCTGTTTTTAATTACTTTTCAATCACAACATGTAATTCTATTGTTTAATGTGATGGTGGTGAAATGGAGCAAATCCAAACCTCCTGCAGGAACACTCAGAGCAACACAACGCCGACTGTTATAGTCTTAATCTCCTTGGAGGGATTTCACAATTATAATAATTTTCATACCAAGACTTATTCTTTTTGATATTAAAAGTTAATTTAAAGAGCAACGGAGTGAAAATGCATAACAGAAACTTTTAATATTTCAAATTAAATTAGATTTGCCAATAAAACAAAAAGATAATTTAGCTTCTTATGCTGCAACATTACAGGAAATAAACTATTAAACAGAACTGAGATGTTTTTTAAGCTTTACTTATAATTTAATCTGTTTGATTTTTTTAAGTTTCATTCTTTGTTAGTGTTTCTGACTCCTGGTTCTAGTATTTGAATTATCACACCTGCTGTTTGTCACTTTACTGTTGAGGTAAACACTACCTCAGTTTTGCTTAAAATATATTATTTTCTTACACTAACAGGTTATGAATAAAGCATTTACACCTTTGCACTGAAGAGATTGTAATCAGCCAGAGGAATGTATTTTTACGTTTTTTAACAAACTACATTACATCAATTATGACTGTAATTTAACACCTTGAAATTGGGCCTCTGTCTCTTTAAGAAGCTCCTGCTCTTTCTGAAGCTCCGCCTTCAGGAAGTCATCCCAACATGTCTCCTCCACTGAGCAGCAGCTCCTTATAATGAGCTCAGCAGTTCATTATAAGGTGTTTGCTAATTGCTGCTGGCTAGTCTGAAGGAGCTGAGTGGGGGAGGAGCTTCGTCTTGAAGACGGGGCTTGGCCCATCTAGCTGAATGGTTGCCAAGGAGATTAAAGGATTTCTGAAACATGCATGAAATAATCAAATCAGCTCTCCAGGAATGTTGTTGGTGAGGGAATAGCATTAGAAAATTATGTAAATCTAAAAAAAAACAATAAATAAAAATAATAATTTAAAAAAATCGATTTTAAATAATACTGAACCTTTAATTTCACTTGTTTTTATCTACAAATTAAAAGAAGAAAATATTTCAGTGAATGACATATATAAGGGTCCGGTTTTGGAGTGAGCTACCTTTTTGATTTGGATGCACCTGAATCAGAGCTGAAACTAGGTCATTATTCATGGCTGTTTTCAGATGGAAACCTTAAATTTGAGCAGCGAGACCCGCTCTGAAGCATGCAGTTCCTCAACGCCCCATGGACATTTCTTCCTTTTCCATCCAGCCTGCCAGCCTCCGGAGCGCAGCGGTGCAGCAGGGGTCCAGGCTGCCCGCCGGAGCCGCTCTCAGCTCCGCCCGCTTCCTGTCTCCGTCCGCAGACGCGTTTTAGCGCATTAAACCCGGCGGCACAAACAGGAGGAGTGGAAGCAGTGGGAGGGCTCTCTGCTGTGTTGTTGTGATTTTTTCTCCCCTATCCTCTCCTTGTGGGTGGAAAACACTGGTGAGGAGCCACGCCGCCCACTAAACAAGCCCAAACGCGCACCAACTGGTTCCCAACCCGGAGCGGAGCCCCGACACACGGCCGGCTGGACGGACCAGAGGACGGTGAGTGCTCATGTGTTCACATTTTATCCGGAATCTCAACAAACAAGTTGTCTCTGCGTCGTTTTGCACCCAACGTGACATTTAGTGGTTTTGTCTGCAGACTTTTGCATGTGCATCCTGTTTATTTGCTGCCACGCAGCGCGGTGGTTACACTCCAGATATTAAGATGCGTTGGGACGCAGTTTTAATCTCTTTGTTTCGCTGCTTTCAGGCTCCTCATAACCTCAGGTCCTCTGACCATGTTTCCACCCTGATTGTGGCTCTGATAAGCTTCATCTCTCTTCCGCCACTTTGCAGACGCCTTCCCCTTTTAAAACAATCAGCTTTTTGTTGTAAAATTGATTTAGATTGGTTATTTCTAATACGTTTATGCCACAGGGAATATCTGCGATGCTTATCTTAAGATATAAAAGCTTATTTAATGTGAAATCGGCTCATATCTTGGTTTCTGGATCTTTTTCCTGATATCTCTTTGGCCCCTTTAACAGCTGCCGGACCCCATCCAATATTTAAGACACTTTAATTCTCAGTCAGAGTAATAGGCTGCAGGATTAGTGTGTTCTGATGAGTTTGAGCCCATTTCGGTCCTTGTTCTACAAGCTGTAAACCTTTACTGCTTGGTGAGCACTTTCCCTCTTCCCTGGGTTTTCTTTGTGTCCCTCTGTGGAGGCGACAGTCAGCAGGTTGCTCTCTGTCAGATGGAGCAGTTGCTCGGTTGTTTGGACAAGATGTGCTGTTTGAAGATTCAGGTTAGTGGTGCAAAAAGTGCGGATGCGCTATATGCGACGAATAAGGGCGCCATGCTAGAGGGGGCGCCACAATATGTCAGAATAATTAGTTCTAGTTGGCATTTTATGTATTTGTTCAATCCAGATAAAGAATTTAGCTTTTGATTTCCTACCAATGTCTCTTTATCCCTTCAGCAGTGGGAATATTATACTTACCTCTTAGACTTTTATTCCTATTTTCATAATTTTGTCTCAAATTTCAAGCTTTGCACAACCACAGAATTTGAAGCTAAAGCTATTTTTTTCTGCAAAATAGTTCAAATTTAATCAGGTTAGTTGGAGAGCGTCTTCAACAAGATTTTCTAAGTATTGTTACAGATTCTCCTATTGAATTTTAGTTTAGACTTTGACTAGGACATCTAACAGATGAATATAATTTGATATGAACCATCTGTTGTATCTCTAGTTGCATGTTTAGGGTGGGTGTGTTGCTGGAAGGTGAACCTCCACCCCAATTTCAAGTCTTCTGCAGCCTTAAGGTTGATTCATACGAGGCTGGTTTAGTTTACTTTAACTGAACTCCAGTCTGTTTGTGGAGCTGTGAACTCTGGTCAGCCTACAACTCTAGGTCTCGGTTTGGTTGTAGTGAGCTCCGATGTGGTTTGAATGCATTTGTGAACGCCACCCGGACTGGCAGCTGCTTCAAAAGCAGGAAGTGGACTACAGTGCAGGGCATTCTGGGTAAATACAGGAAATGGCTTGTGGTTTTTTACCAAACACAAAAAGAGAAATCCTCCAACCACTAAAATCTAGCTCTACTCCATTTTTGTTTGCATTTTAAGAAGGAAATTGTGCTCAGTGTCTTCTTCAGAGGTTTTCATGTTTCCTTCAGCGGTTCTTGGTGCAGCGCCCCCACAGGCGAGGAGGGGAACAGGTTTTTCAAAGGGTGTTTTTGATTTGACTCAGTGCAGTGAGAAAACAAACTGCAGCTTCTGAAAATGTAACAAATGTTACAACTTGGGTCCCAAATCAAACTGAGTCTGCTTGGCTACCAGGTGGAAAAAAATATTCTTACAGGATATTTTCTCTTACCTCCATGTGGGTTTAGTGTATAATAAAGTGGCTGCTTTAGTTTTATATGCAGCCTGCAAACTTTCATTCTGGTCTCGTCTGAGCAGAGGACGCTCTTTTATTTGTTTGCTATGGCAAATCTTCAGTCAGAATTTCATCTGCATTGTGACTGAGGTTAATTTACAAACTTGTGAACTCTAGTTACTAAATAGGTCATTTTAACCATTTTACCTTGTTTTTTCATGGAACAAGTGGTGATAAGACAATAAATTTAGTAGTTTCCAGTGAAAAGTATGAAAAAGTCTTAAGGATCTAAAAATGTCTGTAGCGATGAATCATGATTAATCAATAATTGTCAACTAATTTAGTAATCCATTAATCGTTAGCTGGACTTTACAGACTAAAAAATCAATTTTTCTGAAAGAACAACCCATTCAGACCAGTAAGTAATCCAAAACTGTACAAAAAATATTAACATTTTGGACTTAAGATGAAAAAAATCCCATTAAAAAGTAGTTTTAGCTTCACATTTTTCAAATTCAGTTAAAAAAAAAATCACCTATTAAGCACCTTTTGCTGTCCAATTATTAATCAGTTAATCAAAAAAATATTCAACAGTATCGTATATTGATTTTAGGAGGATTTTTTAGCTGCATCATTTGCTATCAAGCATTCACTGAAGGAATGGTGTTACTGCATTTTTGCAACAAAATGTTTCTTTTCTTACTTAAAAAATAATTGATTTACTTATTTAGTTGCATCTTTTAATTTATGTCTAATACCTCATAAAAAATGAGTGGTTAAATGAAAACCAGCAGAATGTGCCCATTTTTGTCTGATTAATTGATTAATCGTCAGAATAATTGATTAATTGTTAGTCATAAGGTGTTTTTGTAAAGAAATGCAACATTTGAGCTCCAACATCAGGCTGATAAAGAAGCTGTTGTACTGAATTTACTTTTAAAGTCTTTTGCTGTTTGGCTCTTTGTTGCTCTCAGTTGGACCTAATGGATTCCACTTCACATCAACACCATTTACCTGCTTCAGTACTCTGTAATCGGTGATCAATAATCTATAGGAGAAATCTGCTGCTACAGAGTCTTTGTTTCCAAATTAACTTCCTAATTTTCCTTAACATCATGATTCTGCTAGAAAACACAAGCAACTTGCAGTAGATTTGGATGTAGATTTTTGCAAACCTCATCCAGGCTCTTCCTTTATTTTCACGTCGGTCTCCGAAACGCTCCTGATTATGCAGATCTACGGGATTCTGAACCCTCAGGAGGAATATGTCTCTTAATATCGCCCACACTTAAAGGTATTTGCTTTATCTCACTGCTGCCTGACTTGTGTGAGGAGCCAGAGGATGTAAAGACAAACATTGCTTTTAAATTTTATTAAGGAGCCGAGCTGAAGATGCATTTGCTGCTTTAAATCTAAGGTTAACCTGTCTTGGCATCTTACCCACCTGTGTTTCTGTTTTTGTTTGTTTTCTGTCTCTGTTGGATAATGAGGAAGATTCAGTTTTACTGTGGTAGAAAAAAACAAGATTTTAGCTTCTGAAATTGTATTACACTGAAAAATATATAACTGTTTAATCAGATTAATTGTGATTAATCGATTATTCAAATAATCGTCAACTAATTTAGCAAACGATTAATAGTTAACCAAGGTGTTCAGACTCAAATAAGGTTATTTATTAAACAAACAACACATTCAGAGCAGCAGGTAAGCCAAAAATGTACAAAAATACTTTTTGTAAATAAAATAAAAGTTCTTTCTTTGTATGTGAATCTGTTCACATTTAACAGGATGAATAAAAAATAAGCAGAATGATGCAATTTTTTACTCTGATTCATCGATTACTCTGACGATTAATTGATTAACAATTAGAATAATCAATTACTAAAATAATCGTCAGCTGCAGCTCTTTTATTGTTTATTTATTTTATTTTAAGCCTATTTACAATCCATTTGAAGTTTAATGTAACGTTATGAAAATGGTTAGCCTGTAATGCTAACGAAACGGGATGCATCAGTACAATCCACACAGAAATGACAACAGGCATGTCAGCAAAAGTTTTTATTTAATGCTCAGGCTGTCCGTCCACATGGATGTGGCGTCTTGGAAGACCAGAAATTATACGTATTAATTGCCATTGTAGATAAAAATCAGGAGTAAATTTCCATTTAAAAAACTCAGAAATGTTGAGATTAATCTTAGAAATTTTCTAGCAAAGACTAAAAATGTCTAAGATCCAAAAGTTTAACATTTTTGAGGAAAAAAATCTCAGAAAAGTTGTAGAAAAAAAAAAAAATTTGAGCTCGTAAAGAAAACATTTTCAACTTTTGGAGAATTTCTGAGTTTCAAAATATTTTTATTTATTTATTTATTTATTTATTTATTTATTTATTTACTTACTTATTTACTTTTAGAGCTCAGTGATTTCCAAATTGTTTCTGGAAAATTTCTGACAATCTAAAAATTATTGCTTCCTGTTTTTGTCACTGTTGACTGTGTGCTGTGTTTATTTGACTTTGTATTTTCGTGTTTTTATGATTTAATGCATTTTGAACTGCCTTGTTGCTGAAATGTGCTACACAAATACACTTGATTGATTGATTGATTGATTGATTGATTGATTGGCCCTAATACGCCATCGTATGAAACACAACCTGACTCATTAATTCTTTATTTTGTATTTGTTTTAGCCACCATGTCATTTTAAATTACCACTACATCGTTGTTGTCTGGAAGTGCTACAGCGCCACCACTTGGCGTGGTGGACCTTCTACACCATTTGAGTGCATTTTTAGTTAAAACTGTGTTTCTGTGTGAACAAAAGCTGCAGGAAGGTTTTTTTATGTCTGATTTCCAGTTGAATTTGTCAGGATTTAGTTTCTGCCCTCTGCTGCTTGTTGCATTAACCTTTCTGGGTCTTCAGTTCGCTCCTCCTTGCTCGCCATACATCATTTCCTGCTTTATTTTCTCCCTGTTTTACAGAAGTCTTCCTCCTTGTCCTCCTCCTCAGTCTCCTTCATTAATTTCTCCTCTCCCAGGATGCTGGCAGGTCCACTTCCACCTTCCTCTGGTGATTCATTTGCATCTCGGCTCCACACGGCTGCCCAAGTGTTTTCTGGGAGTCAGGTGGCTAATTGGTTCCCATCTGTTGGGAGAAAACGGCCTTTACGGTTTCTTGG